GTTATAAATAAGTAAGTAATATGGTTGGGTATCTGATTTAAACATTTTAACTTATCAGCATAGGTATTTTGGGTATTTATAAGAAAATGTAAATATTTTAAATTTAGAGATATACTTTGTATAATCCTCGACATGCTATTAATCACAACCCCATTTAGTTTTAGTTAAACTTACAATATGGGAAAAGATATAGCAAATAAACGATCAAGGCTCATTAGTATATACATAAAATGTGTCGAACGATATGTTATTTCCATACATACAACATAAAATTTTGCAAACCAAATTGGAAGGAAATTTAGGCCAATAGATACTCTTACAAAATAAATTAGTCGAATTATGTAAGATAAAATTTCAATAGAAGCATAAATAAACAGTAATGTACTCGTATTGCTTCCTAGTGTAACATATTTTTTCCTTAAATTTAATTTATTAAATAGGTATCTCAACTTCTGAATTTCTCAATGATTCGTATACGGTGCTTTAAGAAGATTAAGCGAATGCTGAATGCCGTATCAACCATGTGATAAAAGTGATTGGAAGTGATAAATTGAATCTGGGTTTGGTTTATTGACCTGGGCCGGATCCTGGGCCTGTAGTCCAGGAAAAACCCAGGAAGGTCAAAAAATGCCTGGGCCTGGACTCTGGGTAAAAGAAAAACCCAGGCCTTGGTCCAGACCCAGGCCGATCTCTAGATATCCTTGGATTTGCAAGAGATATTTGAGGATTAAGGAGATATTAATGAATTTGAGATGATACTTAAAATATCAGAGAATAAGGAGGGATACCTGAGAATTTGGGCTCCAGAACTGAGCTTAAGGGGCTCCAGAACAGAGCCTAATATTGATATTTGGATAATGGCCTCCTCCTTCTAACACCGCAGATGAAATTTTGAAAATTTCAGTAGATTAAGAAGCCAAATATCTTCTTTTCTTGACCTCAGTTTAGATATATTTTTGCATTTTTTGCGTTATTTTCGTCAAAAATTACGCAAAACGATGGCCAAAATTAAAAAAGATTTACCTATATTTAATAAAAATATAGCAAAGGCTAAAATTTGATAGTATTATAAAAAAAGAAAAAAGTGTGGTAGTTAAAGCAATAAAAAATAGTTCAGGAACAAATCCCTCTTCATTGTATTTTGAATAAAATGGCTTAAATTAATTAGGTATTTTTTATAAGATTAATAATTAAAAACTAACGCTATAGAAGCTTTTGTTGTCCATTTTTTGATGGAATATTGGAATTAAATTTATTGTTAAATTTTTAATTTTTCATATTGGAACTAAATTTTAAGGTACATAAATCTAAGTTTTTTAAAGTTTTATGAGAAAAAAAGTTTTAAATAGAAAAAAAAGATTAAAAGAAATATTGCGTGACTTAAAAATTATACTTTAAAAATTTGTACAAGAATTTTAACTAAACTCGTGTTCACACCAGGGACCGAGCCAACAAAAAAACAAAACGTCGGCTCGTTCCCTGGTTCGCTCGTTCCCTGGTTCACACACTTTATGAGTTTATCAGGGTTGCCGCCCGAAACCCGAAACCCGATACCCGAAACCCGAAACCCGGCCTTTTTTTGTACCCGAAACCCGTTACCCGAATTGAAAATTTTCCAACCCGAAACCCGAAACCCGTACCCGATATTTTTTCCAACCCGAAACCCGTGACCCGAAATTGGTTAAAACCCGAAATTTCTACCCGAAAAATTAGCCTTACCCGATTTTTTTAAATACTAAATTTAAAAAATTATAGAAAGAGAAATACGGAAAAGGGAAATAAATATATTCATAATTTCTTCAATTCTTATTATGTTGATAGGTGGTTGAATGGGTAAGGCGACTGGCTCGGTATTTTCATAGGGGTGGGTTCGAGTCCAGAGCTGGAAATCATGCAAAAAAATTTATCTTTACAAAATTATTTGTTTTTAAACTTTGATTTTCAGTTTAAATTTTTTAATTTATTTTTTTTAATATTTTAAACTTGAAAAAACATTATAAATTTTAATTTAGTCATGAATTTTGCAAAATTTTCTCTGATGCGCATAAATTTAAGTGTTCTGTCTTTATGACTAACTAAAATTCAATAAAATTTTTTGCCTGTGGCTCTGGCAATTGAATTTTTTCTTCTACGGCCTTATAAAATTTTCAAAATTTTCGCCTCCGGCGGTGAAAATTAAAGAAATCTGGCTTGAGGATCATCCAAAATTCTTCAAATTTTCGCCTGCGGCGCAAAAATAGAAGAAATTTGGCTTCATGGTCTTCCAAAATTCTCAAAATTTTCGCCTGCGGCGCTGAAAAGGGAGAAAACTGGAGGCTTTAATGGAGATAAAGCGGAGGGATATTATACATAGTGGGATTTTATCAAAGTGGGATTTTACAAAGATATCCCTCTTAATCTCCAAATCCACCAATGTCTCTTTAATCTCTTCAAATTTGCCTCTCTCTTTATCACCCAAAATCCTATTATGCAACATAGCTTGTCTCCTTACAATTTAGTTCACCAATACCCGAACATCCGAAAATAACCCGAATTTTTCGCCAAACCCGAAACCCGTACCCGAAATTTTTGCCAACCCGAAACCCGTGACCCGAAATGAAAATTTTCTAACCCGAAACCCGAAACCCGTACCCGATATTTTTGCCAACCCGAAACCCGTGACCCGAAATGAAAACGCTCCAACCCGATACCCGAAACCCGTACCCGAAGATTTTTTGTACCCGCGGCAACCCTGGAGTTTATTTAAACATACATACATATTACTTTAATTTATTACATGCAAATACACTTTTTTACTAAATTTTTTTTAATTTCTAAGAATGAAGCTTAATTATATAAAATAAATTTGACCAAATCTCGGTTTTTGCAAAATTTTTTCTAAAATTCAACTTACTTCCATTACCTAATTTATTCATCCTCTCTACCTCTCGATAACTGAAATGTTAATACATATCTATAATGCGTAAAAATTTACAAAATTTTTGTTTAAGGAGCCAACGGAGTGAAAAATAAAGTAAATCAAAAATTATTAAGTTCGCTATCGAAAATCTCGAGAACTCTGAAAAGCTAGTATCAATCCAGTCTCTAATAGAATTGGGCGGGATTGGGATCCCGAAGTAAAATCAGGATTTTGGAGTAATGATCCAGGTCCCGGTCTCGACTCGGGATTGGGATTCAAAGATCCCAACCTTAATCCTGATCCCGCCCAACTCAAGTCTCCAATATACATACATAAATAAATTTACAAATTCATTAATAATTTTAAGCAATTTATCTTCCAAACAAGTTTATTATTATAATTCTACTCTATAAATAACAAAAAAATTTTCCTAATTATTTTTTTTTGATCAAAAAGTTAATTAATCTTTGCGAGAAATGTAAAAGTGCACACAAAAATATATAAAAAATGACACAAATTCCTTACAAGATTTTATATTTATTTTTATTTTCAGCTTTCATCTCGCAGAAAATAAAGGATATAAATAACAAAAACGACATCTTTTTTAATTATTTCTTAAAAATAAATATATGTATGTATGTATATTTACTTAATATCAAGCTATATTTAATAAATTATGATAGAATTTGGTTAATTAAAGTAGAATAATACAGAGCAAGGATTTAACTAACCCGATTTCCGGTTCAGGAATTTATTTTCGAAAGTTAGAGAATTTCAGTGTCAGGAATTCTTACATTTTTTGGGTCAGTCCTTTTTCTTAAAATAGTCGACATACGAAGGAATATGGTCGCGGTAGTGTTAAATTTTCGAATGTAGATAATTTTAAATAAAACTTGCTTCAGATTGTCAAATCTACAGGGTGCTTCAAAAGTCTTTGCCTGCACATTTTTTATCATAACTTTATTAAAACTTAATCAAATAATATCAAAATACATCCAAATAATAGAGAATTAAATGGAGAATAAAATAAACGGGATTTTTCGCAATACCCCCATGACTTTAAGACAGAGGCGCAGACACGAGCAAAAATTTTTGCAAAATTGCCACAACTCCTCGGTTACTTTTTTCAGATAAAAACTACTAAATTGATATAGTTAATATATAGGAAATTTTTACAAAGATTGGGTTATTCTAGGTTCATTTTTCATTGTTATATTTTACATATTGAATAAAAATTAATAGTAAAAACTTGGATATTTAATTCTAAGAAAAGCAGCTGGTTATAACTAAAATAGAAGGGCATCTGCTTTTAGTCTTTCAGGCAACTTTTAAAAGAGATTTATACTATCTTGTATAAATATTTTATTTGTTTCGCGAAAGTCAAATTTTTATTAGAAAATTAATTTTTAAATAATTAATTTAACTTAAAAATTTTTCTTAGAATTAAGAAAAATCATAAATCCTATTCTTCAATGTCTATAATTACAAAAAGGGGTTCAGAAAAGGTGTTCATCTCCTCAACAATTTCCTTGTGTGCCATAATAACAATTACTTCAATTTTTGTCATAATCTCTTTATTTAATGATTTAAATTCTTTTTATTCTGAAATTCATAATGATTTGGAGGATTTTAATGGAATTGCTAATGATGCTTGGAATAAATTAATTGAAGAGTCAAACAGTTATGATTTTAAACAGAGATTTAGACGGCAATATGAGCAACAACCACAAAAACCTTCTGAACAAAAAGGCAAGCTTCTGCCTAATAACTTGACTTTAAAAATTTATTAAGGTCAATGTAATTGTGGAAAACAACCAAATAATTGTCCGGCTGGCCCTCAAGGTCAAAAAGGCCAGCCGGGTATTCCTGGGGAGGATGGAGCGAATGGTCAAGATGGAAAGCCAGGAATTAATAGTGCACCGAGTGAAGCCTCTCATCCTACACAAAATGGCTGTGTTAAGTGCCCAGCTGGTGCACCTGGCTTGCCTGGTCCTGTTGGAACTATGGGGCCTCCTGGCTCTTCAGGAATGGTTAAATTTTTGGATAATTTTACATGGAAGGAGTATAATTTACAATTGTTTTTCAATAAATTCAGCCTGGAATGCCCGGAAGAATGGGACAAAATGGCGGATTTGGCCCACCAGGCCCTTCAGGGGATCAAGGACCGGCTGGAGCTCCCGGTCAACCTGGTGAAGCTGGAGCGCCCGGAAAACCTGGAATGCGCGGACAAGGAAAGCCCGGACACAAAGGACCTGCTGGACCGCCAGGCTCGCCTGGACAACTTGGATCGCCTGGAGCGTAAGTTTAAAGATAAAATCTAGAAATTAGAAATTCAAAAATAATTTTCGCAGATCTCCTCCCGCTGGCACTCCTGGTCCAGCTGGTCAACCTGGCCGAGCAGGAGGACCTGGAGTTCCTGGCCCACCAGGACAGCCTGGTCGGGCAGGAGGGCAAGGAGTTCCCGGATCTGATGGTAAACCGAATTCTATTTAAATTTAGTGTATTTCCTTATTTTAAGCCGAATATTGCCCATGCCCTCCAAGAACAGGCGAGGTTTCAACAGGTGGAAGAACTGGTGGGTCTCACCATGCATTGACTGACTACGCACCTATGGAACAAATTTCTGTAAAACTTTTTGTTATATTCTAACAATTATACATATTTTAGAAAGTCGAAACAACAGTTCCTGCCAGTAAATATGAGGGTGAACAACCAGCAGCTGCTTCACCCTCTGTTAAACCTTATGCAGCAGGGGAGGCTGCAAGTGAAAAGTAAAATTCTAATAAAGCTCATTTGTTTGACTATAAATTTTTTAATAAAATTTTAGGCCACCAGCAGCAGCTATCCCCCAATCTAGTGGAAGCTATTCAGAATAATAATTATTTCATTCATTAGATTTTACACAATAAAAATTTTATTATTATTATTTAATGAAAATAAAAGATTTGAAATAATAACTTTGATTTTGGCAGATTTTTAGACTCAAAAATATAGGGTTAATTAAGATTAATAGTTTTCTTTCCTGAAAATTTATTCTTGGCCATGCGAAAGTAGAAACGAGAGCCGTTTTATAACTAAGTACGGTGGGTCGAAATTTCGATTTCTTTCCGTCAAGATTTTTGCTTTATTTTAAAATTTATTTTCGGGCGCTTTTTGAAAAATATAGCCTACAACATTAATCAAAAATTAATCAAAAAATAATTTTGGAAAATTCAACAATTAAAAACACTAAAATCAGACTAACAAAAAGACTAGCTAGAAATTTTACAAATTATTTTCTGTTACAACAAATATTGCCGGCAGAGCAAATATATCCAGTAGCACATTCACCGTTAAAGCAAGAACCATAGGGTTTATCCCCTTGCGGGCATTTAGGGCAACAATATTCTCCACCATAATCACAAGAATAGTTGGGAGGGCATCCCTTTAATTTTACGTTTTTTAAATTTTCTTGAAAAATTTTATTAACATGAGCACATTTCCCTGCAGCCTGTCCATATGGACATTCACAACAATAATCAGAGGAAGTACGAACTAGTCTATCCGGGCATGAACCATCCTCAAAACAAATTGAAACAGCCATTGCGCCACCACAAGAATCTACAATTAAATTTTATTTTGTTGTCCGGAAATATGGGCTCTGGAAATTTGGGCTCGAAGCTTTTCCAAGTTTTTGGAATTTTGGATTCTGCTTGACCTTACATGGAAAACAAAATATTAAGCTCGAGAAATTTGGACGTGGTTCAAATAGTTGGGATCACGTCAAAGCGTGTCCGGAAATTTGGGGAGTGGACACTTGGGGAGTGGATAAATGGGGAGTGGATAAATGGGGAGTGAGCGGACAATTGGGGAGTGGACATTTGGGGAGTAGCCTAACGATAAAAATACAATAAAATATTAAATAGTTTTTATTGCTTTTGTATTTAAAAAAATAAATTAGGAATCTCTCGAATGAGCTATTATATGTTTTTTCGAATTTTTGACTCTAAAATCCCACCATTGGTATTTGACCATTTCGAGCCCTATATCTCGACTCAAACTTGGTTAATCAAGCTAATTTTAGTGTCATTCGACTCAGATCGAAAGCTCTTTCGAATGAGCTATTACTTGCATATTCGAATTTTTTACTCCAAAATCGAGCTTACCCCCTCCCACTATTGTTTTTCAATTTACCTAGAACTCGGTTCAGAATCATTTCCTGAAATAGGGAGTTGGATTTTTTTCCGAAATTGGAGTTTGAGTTTTTTTTTCGAAAATTGGAGTTCGACTCAGCTCGCCGAGACGAATCGAATGACATATTCCCAAACTTTTATCTCCGGTGAACTTATACGTAACCATTTTTTAAATACAAAAGCAAGAAAAACTATTTAATATTCCTTGTATTTTTATCGTTATGCTACTTCCCAAATGTCCACTCCCCAATTGTCCGCTCACTCCCCATTTATCTACTCCCCTAATGTCCACTCCCCAAGTGTCCACTCCCCAAATCTCCGGGAGCCCGTCAAAGTGACGTAGTCGAAAGTCGCATGTCGTCAAAGGTGTCTTCGTCATTAAAAGTGAATTGTCGACAGAAGTGAGTCGACGTCATAAATGTGTAGTTGTCAAAGGTGTAGGCAAAAGTGACGACGTCAAAAGTACATTTAAGTCAAAATGTGTCGTCAGAATTGACGCATCAGAATTGACGTCTCTCAATTCTGATGTGTCGTCAAAGGTGTCGTCGACAGAAGTGACGTCTTCGCCAAAAGTGACGTCAAGTCAAAAGTATCGTCGTCGACGTCTCCGGTCGTCAACGTCGTCGGCTACGTCTCTGAGCGTCTCTCGACGTCTTTATTTTCCTACTCATACACAAGAATGTGTTTAACTAAGATTACTCATTTTCAGGGGAATCTTTCGAATTGATCCTCGTAGAATATTTACAAAACTTCTTACTTTTCCACTCATCTCCTGTTCGAGTACAACAAAGGCCATTAACACATGCCTGAGTTAAGTGTTTACAATCTTCGCTAGAAGTACAATGAACTATAGATTGTTGACCATTATAGCAAAAAGCTTAAGAATTATTTAAATATATTTTTTTTATTCTACCAGGCGGTCTTTGATTCCCAACAGAATAATCTGGATAGTCATCTGAAGAGTATGGATTTGGAGGCCGTCTTCTGTCGTAACTGCTCCTTAAGCAGCAAATTGCTTGATTGCCACAATACTCTCCCGCGAAGCATTTTGGTCGTTGCGGGTCACATCGACTGCCTGTAGGGAAGTCGCCCATGTTACACCCAAGATTATTTCTTCGTTGACGATCTATTGTTTTGTCACGTGGTGCACAACAATACCTAATGTTTGGAATAAGCGTTAGAAGGGACAAGCAATCAAAATGTGTTAACCGACCTCCGCAACTCGCAAATTGCTCGTTGCGGAACTCGACTAATTTTGTCTGTTGTTGTTTGACAATCATGATGATCCATTTCACAAAAAAGGCCTATAAAACGGCCGCCACTTTGGGGGCAAGCCTAGTAAATTAGAAAAAAATTCTTTGACTTAGTTTAAAAAAATGCCTGTGCCCAATCAGTAAATCCAATAGGCAAGGTCCGAGGCATTAAACAACAACTTTTTTGTTGGCACAAAATTTGTTGGTTATCTCCAATTTGTGCAAGTTCTGGAAGTCTGCCAACTAGTGAATTACAATCTGCATGCCTTATACAACCGCCAACGTTATCTCGAAGACGACGGCCTCCATTTCTCAAACATCTTTTTGGTAAAAATTATTTTAGAAACAGAAACTGAAGGTATTAAAGAGGTTGTACGAAGCCCTAATTAGATTAAGCCTTATGGAAACAGGATAGGCTCTTTTTTAATACAGCGAAAGTTATCCCTCAAAGAAGGAAAAATAAAATTATATTTTTGAGAAAATAATATCCTCTCCCATCTCACGCTTGATTTATTCACACATTTTTTTAAATTAAAATTTATTTCTCCCTTAATCCTTTCTTTGTAAGCCCTCCCCCCCCCCCAAATAATGAATTTACCGTATTTCCTGAAATAGTACTCCCCCCTAAATTAGCACTCCCCCCTTAAATAGTACTCCCCTTTGGAGGAGGGTTGAAAAATAGTACTCCCCCCTGAATTAGTACTCCCCCTAAAATAGTACTCCCCCCAAAATAATAAGAGACGTTGAATTATTTTATTTATTCTAAGTAGCGTTGTCGGTTTCACTTGATTCTTTGATAAACAAAACCTGAGAGGATTAAAGAGATATAATCCGATTAATTGGTGGGGTAAAAGTGGATTTTGGGTATATAAATGGATTTATATCGGATGATGAAATGGGTTCTGTATTAATCAATTGGGATTTAAAAGAGATCATTGGATTAAGGTTTGATATAGGAATTTGAGGGAATAATGAAGGGGAGTCATATTAGGCGATTTTGGTTGATTAAGAGTGATCAAGCGATAAGTTGAATCATAAATCCTTCTTAATCAACCAATATCGGAAGTACAGAAGGGATGTGGAGGATATCGGTGATTAATGCTGATAAATCACTAGACAGAGATTAGGTAATCCCTAGACACATGAGATTAGTTGACCCCTGATAAATCTTAGACACAAAGATATATCCACTATCCCAAAAATTAAATGATAATTATTTTATTACCATCAAACGCCACGATAGCAACGATACCAACTTTATCCCACTGATAATTTCTTGATTTCCACTGATATCTTTCTTTATTTCCCTTAATAACCCGTATTTTAAGTCACTTGTGTCTAATTGTCTCGCAATTTGCTCAATTTTATACTAATTCGGATATTTTTTTAGAATTTTATTAAGATTTTTTTGAAAATCAGGGTCCGGATCCGGTATTTTTCAAATAGCGAACTCTAATCGAATTTATTTAGAGATAAATTGAAATAAATTAAAATATTTTTGTAAATTTTGAAATAAATTTTCCTATGAAAAATCATGGAGGATGGTTGAGAAATAGTACTCCCCCCTAAATTAGTACTCCCCCCTTAAATAGTACTCCCCTTTGGAGGAGGGTTGAAAAATAGTACTCCCGGGAGTACTGTTTTAGGAAATACGGTAATTCTTAAACAAAAGTCAACTACAGGAAAGTTTTGCTAGTCACTTTCTCTTTTAATTTTACATGTTCAAATCAAAATTTGGTAATTTTCAATTTCGTTCCCCCCCCCCCTCCTTTTTACTTACTCAAATTATGAAAAAATGGTCAGACTTTTCTTTTTTCCTCAATTACACTCTTCTTCCCCATGGCATACAATCAGTCAAAAAGGATTACCTTTTTTAAATTTGTTTGTATAAATATAAGAACTGAGAAAGAAAAGCGTCACATTTTTAAAAATGGAGAAACTAAAAAATTTCAAAGATTCCCATCTACATGAAAAATTGTGTTTGAGTGACAAAGATTTCGATTTATGGCTTGTAGAGCTTGGACTACTTCACGGAAAACGAACTTATAAATGTGGGGGCCGAACTACCATTCATCAAATTAGAGATAGACGTTATGGCAGCTGGCGCTGTACAACAAAAAGATGCCGTGCAGAAAAAGGTTATTTATGCGGCACCTTTTTCGAAGGCACTCACTTAACAACAAAACAAATCTTTTATCTTTCTTTTTTGTGGGCTTATCGCTTAGGCAAGTAATTGAGGAAAAAAGAAAAGTCTGACCATTTTTTCATAATTTGAGTAAGAAAAAATGGGGGGGGACGAAATTGAAAATTACCCAAAATTTTAAAAGTACTTGTCCTCTGCTGGATTCACATTTCCTCCTCCCCCACCACCAATTCCTCCAGTAGTACAACATTCATTATTTAAACAAATTTGTTGTATATTTGGTTGATTATTAAGACATTCATTTGTGTCTCTACATTTTTTTCCAGTAAAATAACCTCCATTTTCACACATTTCCCATTTAATATAAGGAACATCGTTTCCCTTTAAATAAAATTTTTATAAAGAAAAATTACGCTTTCTTATAAAACGAAGCCGAGGTCCAATTTTTTCTCGGTTTCGGGAACAGGAAGCGTTGAATACGCAAAATTTTATGAAAAATAAGAGAATCGGAAATACGCGACCGTTCGATTTTTGAAACCAAGAAATCACTGCTCAAGGCTTTTGGATAATTTTTTAAAAATTAGGTAAGAGAATTTCAAACGCAAAGGCATCAAAAAAATTTTTGAAATTTTAACTGATATTTAAATAAATTTTTAATTAATTTTTCACATATGAATTTTAGAGTTTGATAGGAAAACTATTTTAGAGAAAATTATTTTAGTATAATCTCTTCTACCTTATTTGTACCCCCACTACCAGAAGAAGGGGGTGCACAACATTCACCTCTTTCACATTTGGCTAAATTAATTTAAAAATTTTTTCAAATTAAAATATGCAACATACCAACATTTTGAATTTGTTGGCAGTCAGAATCCTGTCTACATTTTATATTCATTAGTATCCAGCCTGGTTGTGAACATATTTGTTGTTTTTGTCCATCCTCGGGGCAGGCTTTATAAATTGGAATAAAAATACTTTTATTAGAAGGCAATTATAAATTGTTTCCAAAATTAACCGTCAGTCCAAAACATGCCAGGGAA